TCAATAGAAGCAACTGAAGCATATTTTAGAAAATGGAATTCAATGGAAGCAAAAAAATTCAACCTAAATGTAAATAAAGAGAAAACACAGATAAAAAAATAACAAGGAAAAATACACGGATGACCAAATCGAAGTGGTAATAGATCAACAAAAACTAAAGCAAACAAACATATACAAATATCTGGAAATATTAATATATAACAGAGGAAGCATTGAGGACGATCTCAACAAGAGACTAGAGAGTTCCGGAAAACTATTCCAGACTCTAAATAGAAGATTCCTCAACAACAAAGAAATATCAAGGAAAGAGAAGATGACGATATATGAAACAATATGTGGGCCAACGCTGAGATACGGAGCAGAAAACTGGATCTTAAACAGAAGTCACCAGAATAAGATACAAGCAGTAGAGATGAAATACCTGAATAACGATAAGGGCAAGAAGGACAGATAGATTCAAAAATGAAGAAATAACAACAGACTTGAAATTAAACCGTTAATTGGCACAATAAAAGAGAAAAAATTAGCATGGTTCGGCCATACAACACGAAAATAGCGGTATAGCTGAAATATTGTAAAATAAGGGGAAATCTTGGCAAGAAGCAACACAAATGGCGAAAAAACAGGAAAGAATGGAAAAAAATCATCAAAAGCTAAAACTCCCTCGACACCTAACGGTAGAAAAAGAACGATTATGTATATATGTATGTAAAAAAAATTCCAAAGCATTATTATTAGACCTTTTTATACAAATTTACATTTCAAAACTCGGATTTTTTTTGCACAAGCAACTTGCAATAGAAAATCTAAACAAATATCTACTGAGCTAAGAAGTCTATTGTATATCTTAAAATACTAGTGCCTAGGATTATTTGACGATCTGGTGTTACTATGGCAATTAAAAAATAGCTGAAGGGTATGACCAAAATGTTGCAGAAATAGGTCTTTCTGGGAAAAAATCATTGATTTTACGTAAAAACCTATACAGATATTTGAAGGTTCTGAAAGATATATGAGGGGTAGCTGATGAAAAATCCGTCAAGACCTGCAGCTTATTTCGCTTTGTTTTTTTAAACAATCTTAAAAAGTCAAAAAAATCATTTTTTGTCTATAACACGTTTCTTATACATTTTATAAAAAAATTGTTTGATTCAAAATGGTAGATCTTAAAAAGTTCTTTAATTTAAATGTAAATTAATAAATTGAAATGCCCATCAAAGATCCATAACAAAGCTTTGAAATATAGGAGAGACAAATATTACGCAGAATTTATGAAGTAATGGAGTTTTCAGCAGTTTCTCAATAATTGTACAGATTAAATCTGGCTGAAGTGGAAAGTACATTTATAAACGTTAATATCGCGAATTAACACGTTGGCGCACTTACATTAACTATAACATACATATATTAAAAAGATATTAAATTTGTTTTAAAATTATAAGAAACACAACACAATCGAAGTCATTGGTGCAAGTAGGTTGGTAAATTTTTTCAATAATGTAATAAGAGAAAAGAAAAAGAACATAATAATTAAAAACTTAACGCTGAAAATCAACGATAACAAGGATATACAACGATAACAAGGGTAACAAAACAAGACGTACAGAAGAAAAAAATAAATGTAATACAAGGAAGAGAATAAAGCCCAAAATCGGATCCTGGCATATCAAAATCATGCTAGCAATAGGTACGATGCAAGAATTAGCCCTAGAAATGAAAAAATATGAACTAGAAAATTTTATTATGGAAGAGTCAAGGAAAAATTGAGGCAAAAACTTTACTATGTACTATTCGGGAGAAAACAAACAGAGGAAAAATGGGACAGCCTTTATGGTAATACAATTCAAAGCACTTAATGAAAGGATATTCTATTTTAGAATAGAGAATAATCAAGCCAACATATCGATACCCAACTGCTATGCCCCTACAGAAGAAGCTACCCAAGAAGATAGAGTAGCATTTTATGATATCCTAGAAAAAATTTGTAAAAATATTTCCAGAAATGACATGGAGGACTTTAATGCAAGGGTGGGAAGGGAAGATTATAACCGAAATGTAGTGGGCAAAGAAACAATACATGAAGCCACAAATGATAATGGAGAAAAGATGTTCAACCTAGCATCTGCAACCAGTACATATATAATCAGTACAAAACAAAAACAAAAACGATAGTACAAGATAACGTGGATAATACCGGGCGGAACAGATGGGAATCAAATAGGTCATATGTTAATTTAGAAAAATTGGATAGAAAGAGGACAAGATGTAACATCTTATAGAGCAGCAAATGCGAACACTGTGAATAATCAAAACAAATATTAATAAGGAAAGGAAAAGAAAAAAATTATACATAGATAAATTGAAACACACAAGAAACAAAACAACAGTATACTGAAGAATTGGGACAGAAACTGATAAGATTCAACAATGAGGATATAGAAAAGGAATGAAGCAGCATAAAAAACAGCTTAATAGAAACAGCAGAACAAATTAAAGGAACCCAAGAAAAACAAAAAAATCCAAAGCATGGCTTGATGAAGAATGTTACAAATAAAATCAAACTAAAAACCACGCAGTAAACAAATGGCTAGAAAATGCAAGGCAGGAACTAGAACTAGAACATTACCGAGCAGAAAAGCATACGAAACTCTATAGATGAAAGAAAGAGACATGGATATCTCAACAGCTGCAAAAGTCAGAAATAAATCATAAGGATAACAAAATACTGTTCGAATATATAAAACAATAATACAGTACCAAAGATAGAGAGAAACATTTTACGAATCTATATAAAACCAGCCAAGAGGCCTCTGCAGAAGACTAAGAAATAACAGATAATGGAGATGCAGAGGAAGATGATCCAGAATTACTAGATATTATAAAGGGAGATCAAAAATAGACACAATACACGTACTGGTGCAAATAATCGAAAAAAGCTATGAACATGACATAGAACTACACATATTGTTCATCGAATCTCAAACAGACAACAATTATTAAAAGAGATAAAGAGGATAAGGAAATAAGACAAATAATGGACAAAGCAAACGAATATAAATTAGAATTGGAAATGTTATTCATAGACTTCAAACAGGCATTTGATTCAATTGACAATGAAAACTACAAAAATAAGCATAAAGACATAAGGAGGAGGGACAGACGAATTCAGTATAAATAAAGGGATGGAACAAAGAGATGCCTTATCTACAACGCTATTTAATCTAGCATTAGAATATGCACTACCAAATATAAATAAAGGAAATCTCAGAACAAGAGGTGGTCAAATAATTGCATATGCAGACGATATTGCTATTATTGCAAAGAACAGGAAAATAATGAAAGAAATGCTAGAAAAAAATAAGACAGAAAAGGGAGGCAATGGGACTAAAATTAAATCAAGAAAAGACAAAAATATTAAGATTGGGGAAAAAGCCAATGAAAGTAAAAAATCAAAATAGGAAGTGCTGAGTTTGACGAAGTAGAATACTTCAAATACCTGGGAGTTACAATAAGCAAATCCGGAGAAAGGAAGTCCGAAATAAAAGAAAAAATATTAGCAGCGAATAAAGCTTATTTTGCAAACAAAACATTACTTAAAATCAAAACACTAAGAAAATTAAGATGAAAATTTATAATACCATAATTAAGACAATATTATTATATGCAGGAGAAACAATGACGATGGTTAAAAAAGATGAAGAAGACTTAAAAATAGCAGAGAGAAAGATTATGATACCCATATTAGGACCAATCAGAACAGAGCAAAATGAATATAGAAGCAGAACAAATGCAGAGATTAAGGAAGAACTTAGGGACTAAAATAGAACAATGCAGAGTTAGATGGCTAGGTCACATTTGGCGAGCAGAAGATGAGGCAGTGACGTACGAAATGTTAAAATGGAATCCAGGAGGAAGAAAAGAAGGGGAAGACCAAGATCAAAGTGGCTGCAGGAAGTTGAAGAAGACCTACAAAGGGCAGAAATCAGAGAATGGAGAGGAAAAACTAGAGACAGGAAAAATGGAGAGATATTGTCAAGAAGAACATAAACAAAAGGGATTGATCCACCCAAGAAATAGGATCTAGAAAGCATTCGCGGTTTAGCCCTACGCTGGGGTGTATAGCGCTAGGCCTACACGGCATATTGAGCATTTAAAATAAATAAGCACTGGACTGACACATTATTTTGGGTATAAAAAGGTTTAAGCTGATTCACAAAATTATGGAATTTTAAAAATTAACCACATAATCTATAACACCTTGCAATATGACTCCAATTATTTCGATTAAATTAAAACATAAAAAAAATAAATTAAAAAATTACATTTAAATGTGTTTTAAAACTAAAAAATAGTTAATACATCATAATATTTGTGATTGCATGTAAATTTCCTATAGAAAGGATGTACTAAATTATTAATTTCTAGATTGCAGTATAAATCAGACCAAAGAATGAATTTTTAAAAAGAAAACGGAAATAGGAGATTCCTAAAAACCTAAATGAAACAGAAAACTTATATGGAGTATTTCAAAGAAGTCGAAAAAATTTTCGACTCATATAAGGATTAAAATGGATTTTTCATAATAAATCAAATCGTCACAAAAGAATGAAAACAGAAAGAATGAATACTACAAGGCCTACAGTTTGTACAAATACACAAAAGAGGCGGAAAAGAGTGAAAGGAAAATGTCAGATTTTAAATAAAAATTAGGAATGCGGAGATTTTTCTATAGAATATGCGTAAAATACAATTATAAAGTTGAAAGTAATTTATTTGCCGTTTTGACCTCCAAGTCTTAAGCGTTTTCAAACTAAAACTTATTAAAATCAAACAATTTGTTTCACTGATATTTGAAATCCGACCTGGAGATCGAAACAATAAATAGAATAGTTTCAATTTAATTATTATATGTTAAGATATAAAAATAGGAGAAGTAGACAAACTGGAAGAAGAAAGGGATTGAGATTGAAGTTCGAAGATTGGATTGGACAATTCGTACTTCATTTATGGTTAGATCCAATCAGCCAAACTGCGAGCATAACTGCTCCACTAAATAAAAGAGTAAGTAATCTAAAAAAACATAAAGTGCAAGTTATATTTTCAAACCAGTTTGATGGATTCACAGCCGCTGCAGGTGCATCCGCCGCAGCAATCATGTTTGGAGCTGGTACTGCTTCTTGTTCAACATTTTCTTCCACTGTGGGTACTGCAGCATCAACCTCATCGGGAAGAACAGGATTTACCTGGATTTGATCCGGATTGTTATGCAAGTCCAATGGACCGGGTAGTGCCTCACCCATACCATTTGGTTCCAATTTTGGAGCATTAGCATCAGAACCATCACACGGTATGTCTAGCTGGATATCACCTGGGTTCTTAGATAAATTCAAATTGTTAGAGATGGCTTGATCTTGAATTGTTGTCTGTGGACCATCAGAAGCATCGGCAGGCATATTTACTGCGATATGATTTGGTGCCTTGGGCAAAACCAATTGCCCATCTTGTGGTTGTTCAAAATTCTCTTTTTGGATTGCTGGCATTGGATCATGAGAATCAACAAAATAATCAGATGGCACACTTACTTGTTTTTGATTTGGATCTTCAGCTGAAGCACCTTGTTCGTCCATATTTTCTTCTTGGATGGGTGGTAATGAACGCTCAAGAAATACAGCCTCATCTTCTTCATCTGTTACCTCTCCATCTGTATTATCAATGGGATTATGCATTCTTCTATACTCTTCTAAGAGTTCTTCAACGGATAGTACTCTGGTCTGAGGAGACCCATCTATTTCGATTTCATCTTCGGTGCGACGTCTACGGAAAGAAGCTCTAACAAATTGTGGCATTTTAATCTGCATTAACTTCTAGTAAAAGTGAAAAAACTGTTGAACTAGCGATGTCTTGACCGTAGTATTAACTGAGCGCAAACTACTCGTATATCACTTGCCGAAAATCTTAAAGGTAGAGGTATTTTCGCTCCAACTGTTTTCAAACTGAACTTTTTTAAATAAACTGGTCACTATCACTTTAAAATAATCTTAAGATGTGTCAACTTCTAGAACTATCTCACTATTGGACACTGCACCACTTCGAAGAACTTCTAGGGAGGAGATCTTCCACTGGAACAACCAACTCAGAACTGAACTTGTACTACCAATAATTAGTCTTTTATACCTGCGAATAATCCCTTCCATGGTTTCAAATAAATCGATATAGAAAACTGCTAACTCTTCATAACTTTTTGCACACTTTTTATCCTTTTCTAAGACATGTTAATAGTGAAAGAAAAAGAATTACTTATGTAATCAATAATGAATATATTCGTCGACTTTACTAATTCTCGCATCTCGTTCTTGTTCAATCATCCCAACAAAGATAATAGTATAATTAGAGCTGTATGTATTTGATAAGTTTAAGTTTATAATTGCTACAATTGTTTTCTAGTACTGTACTGATGTAAATGAAATTAATAATGACAGGCGGCTTAAAAAAGTGCCGTCAAAATTTATTATTAAAATGATTGGTTTTTAACTGAATATTTTATGCATATATATACCATATACCATAATGAATTGTAATAAAAATTACATTTTTTTTTTGACATTTCTATAGACAATTCGGAAATTTTCTGAAATTAAAATGGGCATAATTATTTTTAGTCTAGGAGCCAGGGAGGTGGTTGAGTATGCACTTTTATGTCCCCTCGGTACCTTGCAGTTTTTTATGTATTTTGGTGCCGTAGATTCGATTTTTCTAATTTTTATAGGGTAACGGGCTGAAAACCCGTCAGATAATTTTTTATTAACAATTTAATTATTTTAATGATTGTATATCCTAAACTATTCTTCTTCTTCAGGTGCCATCTACGCTACGGAGGTTGGCAATTATCATAGCTATTTTAATTCTTGAGGCAGTAGCTCTAAATAGTTGTTTTGAGCTGCATCCAAATCATTCTCTCAGGCTCTTAAGCTATGAAACTCGTCTTCTTCCGATGCTTCTTCTGCCATCTATCTTTCCTTGCATTATGAGTTGCAGGATGCCATACTTCTCGCTGCGCATCACATGTCCGTGATACTGTAGCTTTCTTTCTTTAATTGTAAGTTTAACTTCCTTCTCTTTACCTATTCTTCTCAGTACTTCATTGTTTGTAACTCTATCTACCCAGGAAACCCTCATAATTCTTCTATAGGTCCACATTTCAAAGTCGTCTCATTGTGTCTAGATTTAACGTCAATGCCTAACATTTTGTTAGGCGTACTTTAAGAGCTAATGTTAAATCTTTGCCACATAGGACCTTTTTCATTTTCATAAAATTAGAATGTGCTTTTTCGATTCTGACTTTGATTTCTGCAGTGTAGTCATTATTTTCTGTTATAAGTGTTCCTAGGTACATACACTTTTTTAGTCTTTCGATCTGCTGGCCTTCTACTATCAAGATTTCGTTAGTATTATGGTTGTTTTTATAAATTTTCATAAACTTTGTCTTTTTGATATTGAGCGAGAGTCCGTACTTCTTACTACACATTACTATTTTACTTACGGGTCTTTCCAGGTTTTGTAGACTATCGGCTATTATTACTGTATCATCTGCATATCTGATGTTGTTACAAAGACTCCATTTACTCTTATGTCGACTGTTTCATCTTCCAGAGTTTCTCGAATTACCTCTTCAGAATAAGCGTTAAATAATATAGGTGATAGTATGCAGCCTTGCCTGACTCCTATCTTTATTTCCATTTCTTCAGATGTCACTTTTTTCAATTCGTACTATTGCTCGCTGATTGAAATAAAGGTTTGTTATTAGCTCGCTTGGTAATTCATCTGGACCAGCAGATTTATTGGTTTTCATTGAGGTTAATGCCTAACTAACCTCTGATTTAGTTATCTCTGGGCTTACATCTTCCGTTTGGTTATCTACAGATGTACTAGCTTTTTTCTGCTCATGCAATAGTTTCTCGATGTACTCTTTCCATCGTCGTAGTTTTTGATCTGTTTCGAATATAATATTTCCATTTTTGTCTAGTAATATATTTAAGGTTCTTCTATTTCCTACTCCGGCTAGTTCTTTGACTTTTTTATGTAGATTAAAGTTGTCACATCTGTTTGCGGTTCTTCTATTTCTTTACATTTTTCAGAGAAGTAGGTTTCTTTAGCCTCCCTAATTTTTCTTCTTATTGGGTTTTGAAGCTGTTTATAGCGGATCGTATTGATGGTTTTGTTTTTTCTCCTTTCATTCATCAACTTTAGAATTTCCTCGGTCATCCACTCTTTTTTCTTACGTTTGGTTTTTGTAATTACTTTCTTACTTGGCTCCAATATAGAGGTTTGAACAATTGCCGCTGCTACTCTACGTTGCAATTATTTCTAGGGTTTCTATCTAGATTTGTGTTGATTTCATGTTTCAGATTTTCTTTTGTTTCTGCTGACTTTAGTTTCTGTATGTTAAGTTTATTGTTGTTGCGGCTTTTTTGCGTCTTTTTTAGTTGAAGTTGAAACCTAACAATAAGAAGACTGTGATCAGAGAATACGTCTGCTCCTGGATATGCCTTTATTGTCTGAATTGAGTTTCGATATCTGTGTTTTATTAGGATGTAGTCAATTTGATTTCTGACGATTTTGTTGTATTTATCAGCTGGTGATTTCTATGTATAAAGGCGTCGCTTAGGTAATTTAAAAAATGTTTTTGCGATCTCCTCTGTCGTTTCGTTCACCAAACCCATATGGTCCTACATTAGGGTAGCATTTTCCTTCGCCAATTTTTGCATTGAAATCACCCATGATCACTGTTATATCTCTAGATGCTGTGAGATGTAATGTTTTTTGAAGTTCGCTATAAAAGTTTTTGATTTCTTATTCATTTTTGTCAGCAGTTGGCGCATAAATCTGAATTAAGTTCATTTTTCTATGGGTTGTCAATAGCTGCAGCATTATAATTCTTTCGGACATCGAAACGAAGCCTGTTACTGATCTCGTTACTTTTTCACTGAGGATCATAGCATCTCCATATCTGTGTTTAGTGTCGCTGCTTTCAGAGTAATAAATTTGTCCATTGTCTGTATTGAGTTCGCCAGAGCTGACCCATCTTGTATCGCTTATTCCTAATATATCGATCTCCAGTCTCATCATCTCTTGCTGTATATTCCTCAGTTTCCCAGGTTCATACATACTTCCTACATTCCATGTGGCGATTTTGCAGATGGATTTGTATATATTTAGTGAACAGGGATTTCGCTGAACAGGAACAGAAGGAGCATGAACACCTTCTTATTCATACGGAAGTAAGGTGGCTCTCTCGAGGGAGGATATTGACAAGATTTTTTGAACAGAGATGAAGTTCGTGTTTTTCTTCTGGACACCAAGTACGCAGATGTTCTCACTGACTTTATTTGGCTTTGCTTTACTGCCTACTTAACTGACGTGTTTGACACTTGAATGTATTAAACTTAAGTTTGTAAGGGAAAAAAGTAGACATGTTCAAAGTTGAAGATAAGGTCAGTGCTATGGTAAAAGTGTGCCAGCTGTGAGCAAGGATTGCAAACGAGTCGTTCTCTGACCCTGACGTTGGTTGGATTCGAAATCATTTCAGTTGTTAAGCAATTGAACAAATCCAAGGCCTCACAGAATAAGAACGGGATAAGTTTGTTTGATTTGTCGAATTGTGGTACGATGAAGGACATTTTTAATGGCGAGAAAATAGCAGACTTCTGGGTAATAGCACGCAAGTATTACAAAGAACTTGGAGATAAGGCCATGAAAAAAATCATTCTGTTTGCAACAGCCTATCGGTGTGAGCAAGCATTTTCTTCCATGTGCTTCATGAAAAGCAAATATAGGAATTGGCTTGACATGCGGTCAGATTTCAGAGTGAAAATTTCTAGTTTGGAACCCAACATTACAAAAATAATGGATTCTAAGGTTAAATTCAACGTATCTCATTAATTGAGGAGTGAAAATTAAAACTAATAATGTACTTGTCTAGGTACTCTGTATTTTCACAAATAAATCCTAAATAGCATTAGTTTGATTTATGTTTTCAGATATTTTGGCTCTTTTCAGGTAACTTTAGGTTTGTGTAGGTCTTTATGAAATAGTGGGGGTCCTCGTCATTGTAGTACCTTGATGAAGGGGTCCTTGGAAAAATTTAGTTGGGAACTCCTGAATTAAACATTAAAAATGTCATCCAAAAGTTGCGAATTAATTTGTTTATAAGAGATTTAAACAAAATTAAGCTATAAACTTTGAAACTCTGGCTAATGAAAGGTATAGAACAATTAAAAACGAACATTTTAAGCTTTGGTATATGATCAAGATATGGAACTTATAATATCGCACTCTAAAGCCCACCACTCACGTTCCAACGCCGCACTACGATTTTGTCGAATGCTACAAAATTGAACATAATCTGATCGTGTATTTGCACCATTCGACCAAATCGGCGCGATTTGACGGCAAACAAACAAGTCAGTCTGCAGCAAAACGACGTAGTTGGTTGCACCAGCGACAAAATCGTACGACTGCAAAAAAATCATTTGCTGGTAAATTTCGAAAATGGCTTATAGCTAGAAGTTTTTAAGAGATTTCTTTGACATTTATAAAGAACAAGAGTGTCTTTGAAAATTAAAATCGATATCATATCATGATAAAACCGTTAGAAAAACTGTGTAAAACTGTGTAAATATTTTGGTTGCTAAATTTAAAAATAATAAAATTTATTAAAATAAATCAGTCAACATAACCCCAAAATGTGCCGTAGTTGATTTTAAATAAATATTTGATTAAAATCAAGTTTTGATTAGCGTTTGAATAATCGGCCCTTAGCCTATTATACG